TGACGCAGTGTTGAATGTTGCCGATAACTCTGGCTTCTCACACGAGCAGTTTCAATGGAAGATGACCGCTGCGGACGGTCGTTTAGAAGTTTGCCATCTTGTCGCACTTCACGAGTGGCTCGTCAGCACCAACTTGATGGTTGGGGATATTCAAAAGAAGCCTGCTCCTGCAGCGAAGAAAGGTATCTTTTCCCCCGGTCGGTTCATCCAATGTAATTTGAACTATTTTTAGTCGCGAAACCCGCCGCCGCTCCCGTCAAAATCTACGATAATGGCGGACTTGTCACTATGACCACCAAAATGCTCCTCGATGCCAGGCTCAATGCATCCGACTATCCTGGGTGTGTTGAGGCAGGCATGGTGCCCGTCACGGCTGTCCTGAAAAATCGAGTTTGTCCCGCTTTTCATACCTTTTAATGTATTCATATTCATTTAATGAACAGGCTGGCCGTGAGAAGTGCATTACCTGCGACACCGGTCCACGCGGTAAGGCCTTGGACAACAGGCCTGTGCCGCCCAGAGCCGATCATCCATATTTGGAGGGTTGCAAGTGCCCTCTTCGTGGGGCCGCACTTGAGCTTTGGATGATCAAGCAGACAGCGTGGATGAAAGGTATCCCTCAGCGCGGTGGTGATGATGATATCAAGGCTGGCCGACTCGCGCTCAATCCCAACATTCTCAAAGTCATCGCTGGAGCTATCCAGGTGGTTTCAGGCCACGGTATTGAGACCCTACTTCAGCCGGAGGAAGATCGCCTGGAGCATACAATCCTTTGGGCATTGGATCGTTTGAAGGCCATCAACGAGGACTCGAGATTTTCGCGTTCCTTCGGCCTTCTTGCTAAAAAGCTGCGGGAGACACTCCAGTCCATTGTAGAGGAGGATTCTGATTAGGAATGTGCGGTATACAATTTTTGCGCTCTCAAAATGCGATCTGTCCTTCAATATTGTGTAAGATCCGCCTGATAGGGTGTCGAAAGTCTACAGGCCGAGGTTGGAGTGTACGATAAAGACAGTCAGGATATCAAAAGTCTACAGGCCCAGACCGTGATAAAAGAACAGTCCAGTTGGAGTGTGTGATAATGACATGTCTCAAACTGCCTTTACACCACAGTCCAACTACGGTTGGAAATACACAGTAGCAGGTAAGGTGTATAGTTTCGACAGCTGTTCAATGTTCAAGAAGAACACTTCACTTCTGTGTCTTATTGCATGCTCCGCTGCAAAACACTTAGGAGTGAGTTTAGTAAATTGAAGAATACAGTGGAATCGGGCCCAGACTGAAACTGGGCAGAGGTTTATTATGAAAGAAGTGTCAACAATGAATCGGCGGGTTGAACCAGAGCACGTGACCGTTATGTCCCGCGGAAAATGTGTTATAGAGGGCGGGGGATGTCTAGCTAAGTAAATCTGAGCCAGAGGAATCTTGGGAGACACGAATGTGGATTTTGTCGCAACAGAAAGAGCTATTGATAAGGAGGATTAGAATTACAGTGTGTAATAAATACACATAGAGGACGCTGTCAACTGTTTTAGCGTTACAGTTGAAAACAGTTATGCACTGCATATTTCATGCAGTTGGAGGCTGGGTGTATATGTTTAACAGTAGGCATGTGCTCAAGATAAACAGTTGAACTCGCCAAAATAATGCTTCACCGTAGAAGTGCTATTGGCACACTTGTCGCACTGGGTGATTTTCTGCGTGCGAGTTTCCTCATTTTCTTTCACTCCTACACCACTTGCACTCCTGTTTATATCCCCAAATCACATGGTCCCTCTTTTTACATGTTTTGGTGCCTTACGAATATGTGAAGAAACCACAATGTATTTAAGAAAATTCTAGTCCAGTCCGCGTGTCAAGCAATGGAGAAATAAATATTTTAGAGGGCCTAAATCTATCTTAAATTTTCCTTAAATCTCTGACATAGTCACCTCTGAGTCGTTACATAGTTGGTCTAGATTTAAGCACCCAAATGAGGTGTTGAATTCGAGCAGTTGATCTGAATTGCACAAAGAGTGCAGCGTACAACTGCCTGTTTTGAGCAGTTGGATCCGTATGTTTGAAGCAGTATCAGTTGTTCATCTCGGCCATACACATTTCGTGACTATTACAGACTACTTGCGGCGACTACGCGACTTCGTGTCCCCTCTAATTTTACGCTCAGCGCGCACCGCCTTCATCAGCATTGTGAACCTTTTCCGGAGCCCAGGAAACTTCGTCTCGAATCTCTCGTGATCTCCTCCGCACTGAACAAGGAACTCTTCACAGACGAAGCGAATATTAACGAGTTTCACCGCTTCCGACGCATATTCGGTCGATTTAAAGAGGGTTGACCAGTCCTTTAGAGGAACATTGAGGCCCTTCTGCGGTGAGCCATGCTCCCAATATTGGAGGGCATCGTCCAAGGTTTTGTTTCTGGAATGTGTGCGGGGCCAAGTCCCGGGAGCGACGGTGGCGATGGTGGCAACTGCACCGGAGTGACCAAAGTCTGAGGAGTGCTGGGTTCGGCTTGGGGCTATTGCGGTAATGGTAAACTAACTGGAACCAAAGACCAGCATGAATTCAACGGCATGATGAAGAAATTATGCAAATACTGGTGGGTGCTCTGACTGGGGAAGGCGAGCCACTGAGAATGAGAAGTCCCTGTATTTTCGTCAAAATGCTCTCTTCAAACTTCACCAGATCGACTTTTAGGAGCGGTGCAGTCAGGTCCTCCCCCATGAACATCTCATGCCGGTCGATGATACGGTCGTCCATCATGATATCGGAGAAGCCTTCTTCGTAGGCCATAAGCTCATCAAGCAGATAACGCATCAGGGTTCCGACCTTTCATTTATCAACGTTCGAAGAGATTAAGTTTTAGGGCGGCACGTACGTTCTCATTGGAAGACCATCCACCCCACCACTTCACCGCCTTCAAACTCCACTTACGGTCCGCCCACAGAAAGCGGTACTGTGCCCCGCCGCGTCGAAAGCAGTGAGTGGTGAATTTACCGTTGCGACCCTTCATCACCCCCGAACGCTCCACGATGTCTTCCATTAGGTTTTCAAACCCAGAGCGACTGGTGCATTCACCGAACTTAAGCTGCCCCGTCGATGCAAAGGCGGGGAAGACAGAGTCAGTTCCTGCTAGCGGGCGGCGCAAGAGACCTTCCATATGCGTCTTCCAAGTCCGGATATGCGTGTAGCAGTCGATTTCTGGATGGTCAAGATCGATCTGAATCTTGTATTTTTGAACTGCCAAATGTTACGCTACGAGGAGAGCCAAAGGGTGCGATTCACTCACCCTTAGTCGGGTCCTTGTTGGTCTTGCGGAATATCAGCGAAAACTCGTGGTGAATTCCTGTCAGCGAGCGCAGATCCAGTTTGACATGCTTGAATTGGAGGTTGACAAGCTCGTCATTCCTAGTCAAATTAAAAAGTCAGTTGCGATCATTTGAACCCAAGGATATCTACCGCGTCCAAAGGGTGAATGCCGTCGTCGCAAAGGCCTTGAAATAGAGCCGTTGAGTCACGCTGAAATATTTGATTGCTTCTTCACTATCGAGGTATTCCATAATGATCTTCAGATCAGCGGGCAACATGGGAAGGGCCTGCGTCGCCGTCCCAGTTCGATTGTGGCGATTCTTGAGCGATTCGTAGTAGGTCTTGAAGCCGCTCTCGAAGACAGGATTCCCTTCCCATTTCTCGGTGTGCGAATTGTACTTCCAGAACTCTCCCTGGCATCCCTGAACGCTGAATAGTTTGTCAGCATGGTACTCGGAAGGATTGACTATGCCCCTCACCGTTCGAAGTAATCTTTGAACGCTGAACGAAGACCCTCCGCTGATGCGAAACCACGCTCCAAATGCTCACATTTGTACGCGGTGAGAGCTCTAAGAGCCAGCGGTGTCTCTTCTGTGATCTCATCGAAGGCATCTGCCGTAATCTCGTCATCAAGGCGCCCTTCCGCGGTCCAGTCCTTCAGCCACTTTTTGCCGCTCTTGACATAATTCGCATAGCCCTTCTTCGTCCGTGAGGATTTGTACCATTCGTCCGTTGTCTGCTGACTATTATCGAGGAGCGATGATGCAGATGGAAGAGCTGTCGACGGTGTCTTGTTCTGGGCCGCGCGTTTGGAGTTCTTCGGACTTTTTTTCTTCTTTGCGGGAGGGGCCGGGGAGGAGCCAACAGCGGGGGAGGAAGGCTTCTTCGCAGAGCTGCGTGTCGTTTGAGAGCTTCGCTCGGGTGCCATATCCGCAACGACGGGTCTGTGGTGCTCGTCGGACGAGAGCAGGTGTGTGCGCTGGACCAATGACGACGAAAATAAATAAGCACAGAAATTCACAGTTCAGGTGGTGTACAGGGAGTACGGTTCACATTCAACTGTGGGATTTAAACAGCTCAAACGGGCGTGTCCTAATCGGGAAGTGTTTAAATCTGACACCTCGCTTCCTTAAATTTCCCCCGACTATGACCTACATAGTTGTCACTTTTCTCTTACCTCTTGTCGTAGCACGCATACTCGCCGCTCGTCGAATACACCGTGGTTCTGTTGACCTCGGTGTGATCTCTGCTTAGTGTTTCCTGTCTGGCCGACAGGTTTCCAGGTGGGTGTTTGAAAACAAGAGAGAGTGAGGGAGAAGAAAAAAAGAATTCGTGGAAACATCATGGCCTGACCCCAAATCAAACAGGGATCTTCTGCAGAGGAAATGTTTCTTTTCGAATCAAGGCATGTACACTAACCATTGTGCTATCAGGCCGTTCCCAAGTGTTCTGGGTCCTCAGCTGAGTCCAAGGGAAATGGCCTGGAGATGTGGTATTGGAGGTCGAGCTGAGGTTGAATGTTGAGTTAGATCCCTCTCTTCCTTTAAGTGCAGGCTTGCATTCAGAGTGATTTGAGTTGAGAAGTTCATCACAAAAAATGAGAAGAAGAGGGACTCGCCTTGAGGAGTCAGGAGTCTGAGAGGAAAACGAAAAATGCGGGAGGAAATAAAATAAAATAACTCCCTGTTTGGACATGGCCTGACCCCGGATCGAACAGGGATCTTCTGCAGACAATTCCTATCGAACAATGGCCCAATTAATGCAGAGGCACTAACCAGTTGTGCTATCAGACTGATGCTACTTTGCTTGGATCTTCAATTACACTCCTCAGGGCATGGTTGATCTGGGAGATTCAACTGAAAAGTGAGGTTGAACCTCATTACTTGCGTGAATTTGTGGGTTCCTTAGAAATCTTGTCTGTCTGAGTCTGGGTTGGGGAGAGATCAGTAAAAGATGGAGGATGTATACTAAAAAAAGTGACAAATGAACTGGGGATCTGCGAAGAAGAAAAAGACTCCAGAGCTATTCCGTGGCATGACCCCGGATCGAACGGGGATCTTCTGCAGAAACGCGAGCAGAGAAGTATTATAATTAATGCAGATGCACTAACCAGTTGTGCTATCAGGCCAATGCTATCCTCCTTGGATCTTGAAGTCCACCTCCAAGGCATGGCAGGTTGAGCTGGGATTGAACTGCCAGTGTGAGGTTGAATTTCAAGCTATATTACTACTTCTTTAACCAGGGGTTGATTTATCAGAGCGATTTGAGTCTGGAGTTTGTCTCCAAAAAGAGGGGACTCGCATAGAAGAGTCAGGAGTCTGAGAGGAAAACGAAAAATGCAGGAGGAAAGAAAAAAATAACGCTCCCGATTTGGACATGGCCTGACCCCGGATCGAACGGGGATCTTCTCCGCAATAGACGGTTATAACGTGTGCAAGTTTAAGGGACGCACTAACCAACTGTGCTATCAAGCCACTGCTGAGCACTCTGGATCTTTGGCTGAGTCAAATGAAAATGGCCCCGGGGATGTGGGAGGTCGAATTCCGGACAGAAATTCATTACTTTCTTCTTTCCCTTGAGCTCAAGCGAGTAGTCTGAAGTATAAACGAGACGAAGGGTGGGTGTTTGAAAACAAGAGAGAAATCCAGGAAGAAAAAAAACCTTTCAATAAAGCTCTATGGCCTGACCCGGGTTCGAACCGGGATCATATGCAGAGTTAGGGGGTCAATTGCAACTTGATGCAGATGCACTACGCAGTTGTGCTATCAGGCCGATGCCAACTTGATTGGATCTTCGAATACACTCCTAAGGGCATGGGATGGGAGGTTGATCGCGAGATTGGAATTACCTTGCTTGCGTGAATTTGTGCAGTCTTGTCTGTCTGAGTCTGGGGGGGTGGGGGAGGGATTGGAAGAGAGTGGGGCATGTAGAAGTAGGAAGGGACAGATACTTAAGGCGCGAATGCATATTTTTTTAAAAAGAGTACGGAAAAAAGCACCTCTTGAGAGGAACCAGGGCCTGACCCTGAGTCGAACAGGATCTTCTGTAGAAGCACACCATGAACGAAACATTTATTGCAGATGCACTAACCAGTTGTGCTATCAGGCCGTTGTTAGATAAGTTATGTCAGAGCCTCAAGAGTCCGAGTGGTTGGGCTGAATCAGACTTGGAAATTTACTGGAGACGATTTCCGGTGTCCAGAGATATCTAGCTCGAGTCCAGTCTAATGAATAAAGTAGTCCAATTTTTTTACCTATGAGTCGCCGGTCAAAGCGAGAAAAATGGAGATATCTCGGATGCGCTATCACGTGCCTACCTGACTCTTTCCACACCACGACGATCGATGCCGCCCAAGTCGTCTGCGTCGTCGGCGACCAGCAAGAAACACGCGCGCAAGGCGGCGGGGCCAGTCGTCTAGGCGGAGCCGGTGCGCGCGAGACGAAGGGCAAGAAACACAGGTCTGGCCCGCCGCGGCAAAAGGTGTCCGGTGAAGCCGTCGGCGGCGTTTGCGGACCCGCTGGAGACGGTGGGGCTCGCGCACAGGCTACCGCCTGAGCTGCTGGTCGTGCTGCGGAGTCTGGGGAAGAAGGCGCCGGCGACGAAGGTGCGGGCGCTGGAGGAGCTGCGGAGCGGGTGGGTCGAGCGGTGCGAGGGCAGCGACGAGGCTGTTGTGTACACACTGCTGGACATGGTGCCTGCACCCCCTGCCTGCCCACCTGCTGCACGCGGACCGCCGCATCCGGCTGCTGACTGCGACCGTGCACGCCGCCCTCCGCCGAATCCCGCTGCTCGCCGGCCCACTGACCGAGGAGGCCAGCGCCAGCGCCGCCGGCGCCTGGCCCTCGCCGCCCACGACGTTGACCGCGCCGTCGCTGCCGCCGCCGCCACTGCCGACCGCGCGCCCGCCGCGCCCGCGTTCCTCGCGCGCACGCTGATGCGCCCCGACGCGCTCTGGGCCGAGATCAACCCGCCCCCGCCGCGCCCGCGCCCCCGCCAGCCACGAAGCGCCCCACGGGCGTCGCCGAGCCGCCCCCCGCGCGCGCCAAGGCCGACGAACTCGACGAGAGCGCCTCTGACCGCCATGCCCGCCTCCGCATCGCCGCCTTCGGCGCCCTCCGCCACCTCCTCGAGAGCGCCCCCGCACACATCCCCGCGTTCCTCGCGGCCCCCGCACTCTGGTCCGCGTTCCACCACGCGCGCCCGTCCCGCCGTTCCTGCACGACGCGCCGCCGGCCGATGAAGACGAAGATGCGGCGAGAGAGGCGGAGGCAGAGGCGGAGGGGGAGGTGTACGACGAGGGGTTCGGCGTTGGGCAGCCCGCGCTGCGGCGTGCCGCGCCCGCGCTCCTCGCGCGCGCGCGGTGCTCAGGTCCGCGTGGGTCGAGCCCGACGGCGCCGTGCAGGGCGCCATGTGGGGCGGCCTGCTTGGGTTCCTCAAGGGTGCGTATCCCTTCCTCGTCTAGCAGATAGAGAAGACGCTGACGTGCATTTTGGCGCGACAGACCACCCCGAGGCGTGGACGCACGCGCCGGGTGCGTATGACGAATTTCTCGAGGCGTTCCTTGCGCGCGCGTGTGGCGACGCGCCCGTCGCGGCGTACCCGACCGTCGTGGATCGTGCTCTCGACTGTCCCGAGCGAGGTGGGTTTCATTTTCTCTTCATTTGTGGTGTCCTCGTTCTTGTCTTTTTTTGGTGTCCTCTTTCCTCGTCTTTTATGAGCATAATATCCATGCTTGCCTTCCCTTTCCGTTCTCTGTTCGCATTCCGTCCTTCCATCCCTCGCCCCCTGGCATGCCCTCGTTCGTCCCTCATCTCCTTTCTATTTTATTTGTCACCCGTCTATGCTCTACTACCCCTCCATCAACCTCCCGTCATCGTGGTGTCGTCCTCGTTCTGGTGTTCGCAGTATTTTTTTCCGAGCATCCCTCATGTCATCGTCCTCTATTACTTTCCTCCCGCCTCCTGCGCTTCCCCCTTCTCGTTCTTATATTATCACCACCCACCATGCGCCCCCTCTCTCCGACCCGCGTCGACTCTTATTTCTCTGGCCCGATTCTCTACATCGCCCGGTTGTTCGCGTTTTCGTCTCCTCGCTGCATCTTATCGCGCCGTTTCACCGGTGTCGTTTCGTTGGTGTCCCAGCTCCCTTTTCCCCCTTCTTTCCGTGTGTTTCTTTCGAAGGGCTGCTCGCCGCCAGCCTCGAGGACGTTCACCGCGACTCCTTTGCCGCATTCCTTGCCGGCGTATGCCCTTGTGGGTGTCCGTCCTCCAACAGGCCCCGGACACGCAGCTCTCCGCGGTGGACGCCGACGTGGCGCCCTCAGGGCCTTCGCGGGGCGTGTCGAGACAGACGGCTGCTGGGCGCGTTCGACGAACCCGTGGCGCTGCTCAGGGGCGCGATGCGCGCGGTGGCCGTGGACAAGCTGGTGCTGCTGCCCGCGAGAGGTTGCACGGGGCTCCTTGCACTGCATCGCAAGCGCCAAGTTTGCGCTTCCGCTTTTGCAGCTGACTCTTGGGATGGTCCGCCCCAGTCATCTCGCGGCGGGCCCGAGGGCCGCGAAGAGTTCGCGAGCAGCAGTGGGTGCTTGTACTTCTTATTTTGCTAATAGGATCCTCCCTTATTCGCTCGACTCGTCCGCCGTGCTGGCGACAACCTCGACGGGGTTCTCCAACTCTAGGTAGGTAACAGCTTTCGTCTCGAGACTTCCTGTTATTGCTCATCTTCGCTTCAGGTACCCGTTCTTCACCTACTACGCCGTCATTGCCATCTGTAGCCGGTAGGCTCATCTCCGAGATTTACTGAACCTCTCGTAGGACCCTTCCCTCGCCGTGGCGAATGACACTGCCGCTCCCGACAGAACTCCGAATGTCCCTCAGAGCGTGTTGAACTTCCCGTGCGCGCAGTCTTGCGATCCTGGTTGCGCCTCGTCGGAAAAGGTGAGTGATATCGGGTTTTCAATATTCGTTCGAACAGGCAGATAGGTAGACCTACATCATGCATGTCTTGTAAGTAGAAATGAATGGGAATTTGCTTTTTTGCATGCGTTGCAATTGTGGAGGAATTTAGTCGATAGCCAAGTTATGGGACTGCTGCTCCGTACTGATTTTGAAAGCGCCGAGAGGGAAAAAAACACAATCAGGTTGTATATTGCCTGACCCCGGATCCTCTCCACAGCCAGCTACCACTTCTCGTAGGTTTGTGCTATCAGGCCGTTCCTACACTTGGCTGAGTCAAAGATGGGGATGTGGGAAGTTCATCTGAGCTTGAATTTTGAGTGAATTCACATGTATTCTAGCTGTAGGTTGGGATCTCGGAAACTCGAGAGAACTCGAGTGGTGTAGAGGTGAGATTTCATTCTGCCGAGAATTAGAGCGGCCTACCAGGTTTCGTCAAGAGTTGAAACAAAAGGAGAAAAAAGGGGGGAAAAACATGTTACAATTGGATATGGCCTGACCCCGATTCGAACGGGGATCTTCTACTAAAGAGAACCGGAAAATCCACATATTAAGTAGATGCACTAACCACTGTGCTATCAGACCTCTACCCATCATGTTGAATCTTCAGTTGAGTCAAGGAATGACCGACGATGTGGAGGTTCAACTGAGGTTGAATTTCAAGTTGAATTTACATGTATTCCAGCCGCAGAGTTGGGATCTAGAATTCAAATGCAAAGCAGATTGAGATTGAGTCTCGAGCTGTAAATATGAGAAGGAAAGATCGTACCCAGCGTCCGAGTCAAGGGGATTTGAAAACAAAAAGAGGGAGGGAACAAAAAGGAAGCTCATTGATGCATGGCCTGACCCCGGATCGAACAGGGATCTTCTGCTGAAACCCACTTGCATCATATTGAATCTTAAGCAGATGCACTAACCAGTTGTGCTACCAGGCCAATACTTTACCTGGATCTTCCAATACACTCCCGAGGCCTGGCAGGAGGTTCAACTGAAAGGTAGGTTGGAATTACTTGCTTGAATTTGTGGATTCCTCAGAAGTAAAATCTTGTCTCTCCGACTGGGGAGACTGGGGAGATTGGTAAGAAGATGGAATATGTAAAAACAGCGAGAGAGGAACTGTGGATTTGCGTAGAAGAAAAAGGAAGCAGGAATTACTCTCATGGCATGACCCCAGATTGAACAGGCATCTTCTGCAGAAACCCGACTCTGAAGAATATTAATTAATGCAGATGCACTGTCCAATTGTGCTATCAGGCCGCTCCCGAACATCCTGGATCTTTGATTAAGTCAACGGCCTGGGAGGTGGGGAGGTTCAGCCGGATTTCGGGTTGAAATTTATTTCTTCTTTCACTTTAGCTCAAGCGAGTGATTCTGTGCTTGAATTCTAATGAGGCAGTGGCTTGGACAAAGGTTGGATGTTTGAAAGCGAGAGAAAGAGTCTGAAGAAGATAAAAAAAGCATTATAGAAACTTCATGGCCTGACCCGGGTTCGAACCTCTGTAAAATATGATGGTTCTTTTGTACAAAAAATTCGAAATCCGCGCGCGAAAGAGATCCCGGCGCGCGCAAAAGAAATCAATGCACACGCGAAAGAAATCAATGCGCGCGCGAAAGAGTGTCAAGTAATTGTTCTAATTCAGATTAAAAACAGCGACAAACCAATAGCATCATCGCCCCCTCTGTACAGTCTCCGTGGATTTCAGCCAAATTTCAGTGATCTGTAACCTCGATCTTGATATCCTGTATGGCCGTAATCCGGGGAAGCTGGTCATCATGCAGCATGCTCCAATTGAGGAATCCACTGTGATGGACAGCGAATCAGTGGTCCTCGACAGGTCAGAATTTGAACTTGATTTTAAGGTTCGAGTGGGCCAAGGTTGATCCATCAGATAAGATAAGATGATTAGATTAGATTAGATTGGGCCGTCTACCTAAAGTTCATATCGACCTTCCTAACACGGGAGTCAGGGCAGTAGTGACCAAAACTAAGAGAGAGGCAACCAATAGAGGAGGAGGAGGAGGGTATATTACCACAGCGGTCCCATTGAGGAAACAAGCGGGCACTGTACCTACATACACAAGCCAAATGTATGCTACAGTCATCTATGCAAAGCCCCGGTGTGATAGAACTACAAGAGAACTTCTCACGGAACCAGGCAATAGACGGGATTAAGGGACACAGGGAGCAAGACACGGGTACATGATAACCCACAGGGATTATAGACGACGTACAAGTCAGTCGGTGTCTACAGGAAGTAAGTAAATATGAGTATGAATGAGAGAGTAAATGTACCCTCAGTCGTACAACAGAGTGTAGTTTTGTGGTGTCGCACAGCCACTCTTTATTGAACGAGGAACAAGTTAGAATCAATAAAGCATCTGTCAAGAGAGACTACAGCCACTCGGCTTGCCTACGGCTTGATGACACAGGCTGTCTGACACACTTTTCTTTCGCGCACGGTGCAAACTCTTTCGGCGTTTCACGCGCTATGTAGGTCATAGTCGTGGGAAATTTAAGGAAGCGAGGTGTCAGATTTAAACACTTCCTCATTAGGAACAGCAAGAGCAAAGCATTCAATTTATACAGTGTCCGACTGTGTATTTCATACAGTTGGGGAGTGGGTGTAAATATACACAGCTTGCGGATTGTTCATTCCATACAGTTGGAGGGATGTTTCAACAATGTGGTCCGAATTGAAGTGTATAACTTGTGTTCCCAATCCCCAGTCCTACCTGAAGTGCTGGAATCATACACTTTGTTGGGTGCTCAAATTTGAACAAACTATGTGGGGACTATGTAGTGACTATGTAGAGATTTAAGGGAAATTTAGCAAAAATTTAAGGATGGTATGTGATGAAAGCACTAAGCACTGGTACCCATTTGACAAGTGAAGTCAATGTTGAATACCATGAGGCCATTCAGCCTCTTACATGCTTCAAAGCAATATTTCAAGGCTTATATGTTGATTTTTTTTACCACAGGCTCGATCTACAGATGTGTGATTATTACAGGTTGGACTGTTCAAATAAAACAGTTGACACCCCATTCACCAACTGTTCACACTAAACGGCTGACTCTTAACTGTGCAGAAAATGCAGCTGGCCCAACTGTCATCATCACACAGCGGCCGCAAACTGTTAGATTTAAACAGCTCCAACTGCCGGTCAAATTCCTTAAATCCACAACACTATGTAGGCCTCTTTCGTGGTTTTTGTACAAACGAACCCTCATAGTAAAATGGGGTCCATTGCAATCATACTTCATGCAGATGCACTAACTGTGCTGTCAGGCCATTCCTAGTGTTGTCAAGCTCCGGTTCAGAAAATCGGTTAGAACCCGAACTGAACCGAACTGAACGCGAAGTTTAGGGGAAGGTTCCGCAAATGCCCGAACCTGGACCTGAAGTTCGGTTCAGGGTTCGGGCGAGGGCCATTTTTACCGAACGCGTTCGAACCCCGAACCGGAAAAGCTATCTTGCTTTTCAGGAAGTTTTGGCAAGAAATATACGTGCAGATATACATCCTGGTGATCAATTTGAGCCTTCAAGGTGCCTCCACAATCTCTTTGCTTTAGATGGCCCAGTATCGCAAGTCACCGTATGATGCATGGACCAATCCCCAATCCGAATTTGCTCATGTGGCTGCTCACAAGCTTTGTAATGTGTTTCAGCTCTTTCAGTCATGAAAAGAAGGACATCCCGGCTTATCTTTCGTTGTTGTGAGTCTCGAGTCAATTTTTTTGGGGGTGGGAATTTTTTCCGGTTCGAACGGAGGAGGAGGAGGAGGGTATATTACCGCAGAGGTCCCATTGAGGAAAGAAGCACATTCGAACGCCGAACCGAACCTGCACTCAGGTTCAGGTTCAAGGTTCGGGCATTCCCCGAACCAAACGCGAGGTTCAGGTTCGGCGTTCGCGCAAAATAAGCCCGAACCTGAACTGAACCAAACTTTGACAACACTAGCCATTCCTCAGTGGGGTCTTTGGCTGAGTTAAGGAACAATGGAGAGATGTGTGACTGAGGTTGAACTGAGGTTGAAAGTCGGGTTGAATTAACATGTATTCTAGCTGCAGGTTGGGCATCTCGAGAGCTCAAGTTCTCCCAACAATTAAAGCGGTCTACCAGGTTTCATCAAGAGTTGAAACCAAAAGGAGGGAAAAAGCAAATCAATCTGGCCCGACCCCGGATCGAACAGGGATCTTCTGCGTAAATCACCAAGAAAAGTACGACTTGATGCAGGTGCACTAACCAGTTGTGCTATCAGACCGTTGTTGGGCTGGTTGGGCTTCGTGCTATGTCAGAGTCCAAGTGCCAGTGGCCCGGCTGAATCCAAGCTGAATCAGACTCGGAAATTCACCGGGGACGATTTCCGGTGTTTCCAAAAAATATCTAGCCGTCGATGTCGAGTCCAATCTAACGAATAAATCAATCCAAAATTTTCGACCCAGCCTACAAGTCGCTGGTCAAAGCGAGAAATCGAAATAGAGATTTTGATTTGATTTTGATCTCTCGGTTGCGCTATCACGTGCCCATCTGACTCTTTCCCGCAAGAAGCAGGCGCGTCGCGCGCAAGGCGGGTAAGCGCGTGGTACGCACGGTGAAGCCGTCACGGACCCGTTAAGGACGCCAGGGCTGGCGCACCGGCTGCCCACTTCGCTAGTCGGGCTGTCGACCAGGTCGACCTTGGCGAGTGCAGTGTGTTGGTCTTCTCCGTCTCTTGTCTTTCGTTTTGCCCTCATCCGGATCCGTTCGTTTCCTTTTTCCCTCTTCCCTTCTCTTGCCTCCGTCTTCGATATTTACTCGCGTCTCTTTCCTTCTCGCCTTCACGTCCAGCACGTTCTCGTGCCCCTTATGTGACTCTCTAATTCGCGCCCTCCACCTCATCCTTTATACCCCTTCGCTCCTCCCAACTCCTTCTCAAATATACACCCCGCTAACCCCCGCCGTTAGGTCCTCACCACTGTGGGTCCTCAGCGCGTTCTGGGCCGCCCTTGGGCCTCGCCGCGGCCGCCTCCGCCTTCAACCCCACTCCCTTCCCCCAGCGGCCGACAGCCTACCATCCGAGACGGACACCTCAGTTCCCGCCGCGCGCTCCCGGAGATGAATCGACGGGAGGCGATGCCGAATCCCATGAGTCGACGCCCAGGACCCGCACCCCGCGTTCGTGGACGTGCTGCGCGAGTGTGCTGTATTCGTCGCAAGAGGTGCGCGATGTCCTGATTTGGGCGGCGCGCCTCCTCGCGAGGGAAGTGCGGCGCGTGTGGGAGAGGGAGAGGGAAGAGAAGGAGCGGAGTCGCTGCTGTACGTGGAGGCACGGCGCGCGGTGGATCTTATACGGAGTGCATTGGAGAGCGAGGGGCACGCGGGGAGGCCAGTTTTTTCTTCTTTGCTAGTGCTGTTTTGCGTTCGTCCATTCCAACCCGCCCGCGCCCGCTTCCCGGATTTTTAGCATCCACGTCTTCTTCGTATCCTCCCAGCTGTCCCTCCTTCACCGCGTACCCTCTTCTCTGCCTGCGGCGCCCTTCTACCTCCATCACCCCCTTCCTTTCCCCACCTTTCCCCTCGTTTGCCTCCTCCCAAATCCGCAATACGCCCCATTTCACAGACCTTCTCTCAGCGGCCCTCGACGCGCTCGGGCTGCAGGGCTGCTGTGCGCAGTGCTGGACGCGCGGGTGATGGCGAGGAGCGGGAGGGTGTCGACGCAGCGAAACACAAGCCCCGGGATGCAGATGCTAACGTCGCCCCCGTGGGCACACGGCCACGCATACCCTGGACGCGGCCGCCCGCAAACGCACCACAGGCGCCGCCGTCTGCGCGCTCCGTTTATGTGCTGGCGCCATGCTCGACGAGCACGCCACGCTCCACGTCCGCGTGCTCGCTACATTTGCTGCGTTCGGGTTGCGCAGCTTTGCAGAGGCGAGCTTTCACCCCTCGCCTTGTTTACCTTCCCTTCCCTCTCGCCCTCTCGCATGCATACAACGAAGGCTAACGCCCCAGGCCCTCGACGCGCTACCCGCACCCCGCGCGTACGCGCTCCCTGTCACGTCTCTGCTACTTGCGGATCTGACGCACCGCGCGGCTCGTGGACGTCGTGACGCGCCCCGAGGCCGCGGTGGATGCGCGACCGATGCGCTTGAAGGGCTGCTCGCCGCTGACCTCGGGGATGCTCCCCGCGACTTCCTCGAGGCATTCCCCGCCGGCGTCCCCACCTGTGCCCTCCATCCTGGAACAGGTCCTGCACACGCAGACCTCTTCCACTCGCCCGCCGCGGTGCCATCAGCGCGTTTGCAGCGCGCGTCGAGCATGCGGCGTGCTGACCAGTGAGTTGGACAACCGTGGCACTGCTCGGGGGCGTGATGGGCGCAGACAGCACGGAGGCGGCGCGGTGTACCCTGCCTACGCTTGAGCGCCTCCAGATGCTGAGTACCTGCATCGCGAGCGCGGAGAAACCTCCCCAGGTACCACTGCCGGCGGGCCTACGGGCCGAAGAGCTCGCGAGCCGCAGGACACCCGTGCATCCTCTTGCTCTTTTTTTCTCTTCGTCTTTCCTGGTGCCAATGGGATAGCCCATCCCTTATTGCTCACCTCTATCTCAGGTACATACCCCCTCTTCGCCCGTTCCAATACCGGATATTCTCTCATTTCCAGGACTTACTGATCAGCGCTCCCGACGCTGCTTGTGGATTGTCGTACGCATCCGTCTTGCGATCCTGGCTGCCCTTTGATTAGAAAAGGTGAGTGTTGATTTATTCACTATTCGTTCGAACAGGTGGGATAGTCAGACCTACATCGCACATATTTCTAAGTAGACTTGAATGAGAATTTTCTTTTTTCTGCATGCGTTGTTGGTTCGGAACTTTCGAGTGCAAGGGGAAAGATTGAAAATGAAAGCAAAAGCAAAAAATAAAAGCGAGAGCAAAAAGTAACGTTAGCCTGTATAGCCTAACCCCAAATCGAACGAGGATCTTCTGTTAAATTTGTTGCAAGATCGGGAACATGTAGCAGATACACTATCCAGTTGTGCTATCAGGCCTTCCCAAGCATGTTGGATCTTTGGCTGAGTCAAGAAACAATGGAGGGATGGGGGAAGTTGAACTGGAAGGCTGAAATTTATTTCTTCTTAGACTTTCACTTGAGCTCAAGGGAGTGATTCTGTGCTTAGATTCGTGAATGTAAATGAGACGAGGGCTTGTACGAAGGGAGGGTGTTTGAAAACCTAAAACAGGACTCAGGAGAAAGAGGGAGAAGACAAAAACAAGTACATCGAGGAGCATAGCCCAAATTAAACAGGGATCTTCTGCAGAGACACACACTCTTAGAATTCACTCATTGCAAGGGCACTATCCAGTTGTGCTATCACACCATTTCTGAGCACTTTGGATCCTTGGCTGAGTCAAACAAGGAATTGGAGATGTGGGAGGTGTAATTGAATTCGAACTGAGGTTGAATTCCAGGTTGAATTTACTGTAGTATTCCTGCTAGTTTTGGAACAGCATTTCTGAGCAGCTCCGGAAGAGCTCTGCTGCGAAATGAGAAGATGCTTTTACGAAGGGCGGATGTTTGAAAACAAGAGAGCAAGTGAGGGAGAAGACAAAAAAAAAACAATCAAAGGTTGACTATTATGGCCTGCCCTGAATCGAACAGGAATCATCTGCTATACATCTCCAGCTTGGCTATAACTCGTAGGTGCACTAACCAGTTGTGCTATCAGGCCATTCTTAAGTGCCCTGGATCTTTGGCTGAGTCAAAGGAAGATGCTGGGAGTCTAGAGGTTCAACTGGGGTTGAATTTCGGCTTGTATTTTATTCCTCTCTTCTTTGGTTGGTGGTGGGGAGTCAGAGGAGCATTTAAATGAAACACGTCAGTTTAGAATAGTGAACTGGACACGAGAAGAAGGCTGTATGAAGAGTATTTGAAAACAAAAAGAGGGAAGCAAAATTGCCGGTCACAGCTGATGGCCTGACTCTGGATCAAACAAGGAACTTCTACTAAAGATCACTGGAAGTGCTGGCACATAAAGTAGATGCACTAACCAGTTGTGCTATTAGACCATTCCTGAGCTCTCTGGGTATTTAGGTGACTCGAAGAATGCTGGGCTGGGTGTGGGAGGTTGAATTTCAAGTTGAACTTATTCCTTTCTTCTTTAACCGGGGGTTGGATTTATCAGAGTGGAGTTTGTCACAAAAAAATGAGAAGGGGGCCTCACATAGAAGAGTCAGGCGCCCGACAGGAAAACAAAAAATGCGGGAGGAAAATAATAAAAAAATAACTCCCTATTTGGACACGGCCTGACCCCGGATCGAACGGGGATCTTCTGCAAATCAAATGCTTAACGACGCAATTAACGCAGGTGCACTAACCAGTTGTGCTATCAGGCCATTCCTGAGTATTCTGGATGTCTGGCTGAGTCAGAGGGAAACAAACCCCTGGGAGATGTGGTATGGGAGGTTCAGCTGAGGTTGAATTTCGAGTTGGATTTACTCCAGTCACAGGTTGGGATCTGGGGAGTTTAAATGCAAAGATTGAGATTCGCGTTCTAAATATGAGAAGGAAAGATAGTACCCAACGTCAAGGAATCTCAAAATAAAATGCAAGAGAGAGGGGAAAAAAACAATAACCCATTTGGATATGTTCTGACCCCGGATCGAACAGGGAGCTTCTACAGATGCTGCATCCAAGAACTAATGCAGATGCACTATCCAGATGTGCTATCAGGCCAACATCACTTTGCTTTGGATCTTTGAATACACTCCCAAGGCCTCACAGGTTGGGATGTTCAAGCTCGAATTTCGGGTTAAATTTTATTCCTTTCTTCTGTCACTTGGGTTCAAGGGAGTGATTATGTGCTTGGATTCTGAAATTCAATTGAAACAGGGGCTTGGACGAAGGGTGGGCATTTGACAATAAGAGAGAGAGTGTAGGAGAAAAAAGAGAAACAGTCCAAATCGTGTATGGCCCGACCCCAGATCTTCTACTAAAGTATTGGAATTCCTGGTACATTAAGTAGATGCACTAACCAGCTGTGCTATCAGGCCGATGCAACCTTTCTTGCATCTCTGAATATGAATTTATTATTTCCAGCTGTCATTGCTTCTTTAACCGGGGGTTGATTTATCAGAGTGATTTGAGTCGAGAAGTTTGTCGCAGAAAATGAGAAGAGCGGTCTGCCAGGTTGGCGTCAAGAGTTGTCAATGAAACAAAAAGGAGAGAGGAAAAAGACAATTCAAGTTGTTTTATGGCCTGACCCCGGATTGAACGGGGGTCTTCTACTGAAGAAATGCGACGAATGTTGGACACTTAGTAGATGCACTATCCAGTTGTGCTGTCAAGCCATCCGAAACTGGTTTGGATCTTTGGCTGAGTCAGAGGAAAATCATGATGGCCCGGAGATGTGGTATGGGAGGCTCAAGTGAGGTTGAATTCCGGGCTGTATTTGATTCTTCTTTTGAGTTCAGAGGAGCATTTAAACGACAGGACATACAGGTGAACCGTGAAACGAAAAACTGGTGTGAAGAGAGAGGAGGGAGGGAGAAGGAAAAACATAAACAAGCTCCTGAAGGAGTATGGCCTGACCCCGAATCGAACGGAGATCCTCCGCAGAAGACATAGTGAAGACTAAATTAATGCAGATGCATTAGCCAGTTGTGCTATCAGCCCGTTTCTGTGCCATTTGGCTCTTTGGCTGAGTCAGAGGGAAATGGCCCGGGGATGGGGATGTGGGAGGTGAGGTTCGACTTGCTGAGGTTGGATTCATTCCGGTTGCTGGTTTCAGTGGAGATTCTCGAGAGACTTTGTTGCGGAATGAGAAGATGATTTTACGGAGACAAAGGCTGATTGTGGGTGAGTGAAAGAAAGAAAAAGTGAGGAAGAAGAAAAAAGCTTTTTTTGCATGTTGGGCATGGTCTAACCCGGGTTCGAACCGGGATCCTCCACTGAATAAAACCAAAATTCGTAAATACGAGTAGATTCATTAACCAGTTGCGCTATCAGACCGATGCATGCTCGCTTTGCATCTTCGAATACACCTGGAGGAATGGGGAGGTTGAAGTTGAACTGCGAAGTTGAACGGTGAGATTCAAAATTTAAAGGATTTACTCGTGAGAATCTGCGGATTCCTTCGAAATCTGCGCGGTAGATCAGGGTGAGGAGGGGGAGATTAGAAGAGGTGGAGCGTGTAAAGACAGGGACAGATAAGGGGCGAAGGCTGGATTTGCGAAGAAGAAAAAGAAAAAGAAAAAGGAAAATCACTGCTAGCCTGACCCCGAATCGAGCAGGGACTTTCTTCAGAAGGCTATTTGCAGAGCACACCCCTAACAGCTGAGGATGCACTAACCAATTGCGCTACCAAGCCATTATCAAGTGAGTTGGGTTTCGTGCTATACCAGAGCGTCAAGAGTCTAAATGGCCGGTCTGAATCATCCGACTCGGAAATTCGCCGGCGACGATTTCCGGTGTTTGAAAAAATATCTAGCACGTCGATGAAATTTCAACATTTCCACCAAGGAGTCGCCGGTCAAAAGCGAGAAAAATGGAGATATCTCTCGGATGCACTATCACGTGCCTATCTGACTCTTTCCGCACCACGACGATCGATGCCGCCCAAGTCGTCTGCGTCGTCGGCGACCCGCAAGAAGCACGCGCGCAAGGCGGGGGGGCCCGTTGTCGAGACGGAGGCGCCGCCGCCGCGTGAGAAGAAGGGCGAGAAGCTCAGGTCTGACCCGCCGCGGCAAAAGGTACATGTACATCGCGCCGGTGAAGCCGTCGGCGGCGTTCGCGGACCCACTGGAGACGACGGGGCTCGCGCATAGGCTGCCGCCTGAGCTGCTGGTTTTGCTGCCGGCGCCTGGGCCCTCGCCGCCCGCGACGTCGACCGCGCCGTCAGCACCGCCGACCGTGCGCCCGCCGCCCCCGCCTTCCTCACGCGCACGCTGATGCGCCCCGACGTGCTCTGGAGCAAGTTCAACCCGCCCCCGCCCCCACCATCTGCAAAGCGCCCCACCGGCGTCGCTGATCCGCCCCCACGCGCCAAGGCCGACGAGCTCGACGAGAGCGCCCCGACCGCCGCGCGGCCTCCGCATCGCCGCCGTCGGTGCCCTCCGCCACCTCCTTGAGTCCGCCCCCGCAGAAATCCTCTGGTCCATGCTCCAGCACGCGCTCATACCGCCGTTCCTGCACGACGCGCCGCCGGCCGATGAGGGCGAAGATGCGGATAGAGAGGAAGAGGCGGAAGTGGAGGGGGAGGGCTATGTCGAGGGCTTCGGCAGTGGGTAGCCCGCGCGCCGCCCGCCCTGGTGCGCGTCCTCGCGCGCGCGGTGCTATGTTCCGCGAGGGTCGAGCCCGACGGCGCCGTGCAGGGCACCATGTGGGCGGCTAACGCCCCGTTCAAGACATGCTGGCAGCGGTGCTCGACGCGCTCGGCGTGCGTGTGCAGCGTGGGGGGCAGGATCACAGACGCGGGGGTGCTGTGTGCGGCGCGGGAGCCACTCGTGAGTGGTGTAGACGTGCCCTCGCAAACCTCTGCCCTGGAGATGACAGAGAACGCACACACACGGACCCGCCTCCCCCGATGGTCCCACCCGCAAATAATCCACGGACGCGGTCGTTCATGCACGCTGCTCGCGAACGTGCTTGGCGGCACGGTGCTTGTGCTCACTGCCCGCTGCGTTTGGTGCACGGGTGTTTCGGACTGCGAAGTTCGTGGAGGTGAGTTTCCCCTTGTTTCTTCACTTCTAGCGACGAAGGCTAACCACTGCCAACAGACCTTCGACGCGCTGCCTGCGCGCCACGCATACGTATTCCTCATCAGCTCGTCGGCGCTGCTACTCTCGAGGATGCTCCTCGCCTCGATGCATTCCTTGCCAGCGAGGCGCCCGCGACCTTGACTTTGACCGTCCTCGCACAGGTCTTGCGGTCCGCAGACTTCCTCTCACCCACGGCGACGCCGTCAGGGCGTTTGCAACGAGCCTCGAGCAGGCGGCGGCGGGTGGCGTGCCACCCAGTTCGTTCGACGATGACGTAGCGCTGCTCGGGGCGTAACGTGGTGCAGCGTAGTCTGCGTGCGCCTGAGCGAGCCTCGAGACGTCCCTTCCCTGCATTGAGAGCGCCGAGGAGTTCGCCGCTTCCGCTTTGTGCAGCCAGCTTTTTATCTTGCAGAGGATCCGCCTCCCCGCTTCGTAGAACGCGAGCCCTAGAATCGTGGATACTGCTGGTCATTCTTCTCCCTCTTCCTGTTGCTAAAAATATCGAGTTACTCTTATTGTTAAACTCGCCGCCTTCGGCGACGACAACCTCGACGGGGTTCACCAACTCTACGTAGGTAACAATTTCGTCTCGAGACTTCCTGTTACTGCTCATCTTCGCTTCAGGTACCCGTTCTTCACCTGCTGCAACGCCGTCATTGCCACCTGTAGTCGGTAGGCTCATCTCCGGGATTTACTGAACCTCTCGTAGGACCCTTCACTCGCCGTGGCGAATGACACTGCCGCTCCCGACGGAACTCTGAATGTCCCTCAGAGCGTGTTGAACTTCCCGAGCGCGCGTCTTGCGATCCTGGCCAAATCCTGGCTGCCCTTCGTCGGAAAAGGTGAGTATTGGTTTTCACTATTCGTTTGAACAGGTAGCATCTTCCATGTTTCTAAGTAAAAATAAATGAGAACTTACTTTTTTGGCATGCGTTGTGGAGGAGGAGGATATATTACCGCGCTGGTCTCATTGAGGAAAATATGGGTACTGTACCTACGTATACTAGCCTCTGTAGTGTACGCTACAGTCGAATCAGTTTGACAGAAATACTAGGAAATCGGAGGAATTTAGTCGATTGCGAAGTTCTCGGACTGCTCCGTACGGTCGAGAGGGGGAATAAAAACAAAACAAAAAATCCAAATCAGGTTATGTATGGCCCGACCCCAAATCGAACGGGGATCTTCTGCAGAACTACTTATGCAACCGCAAATTAATGCAGATACACTTATCCAATTGTGCCATCAGGCCACTCTTAAGTCTATTGGATCTTTGGCTGAGTCATGGAATGGCCCGGGATATGTGGGCAGGAGGTTCAACTACAAGGTTGACATTTATTGCTGCTTTCACTTGGGCTTATCTGTGCCTGAATTTTGAAATGAGGCAGGGAGCTTGTATGAAGGGTGGGTGATTGAAAACAAGAGAGAGTGGGGTAGAAGAGAGAAAAAAGAAATGATTAAGGTTGATTATGGTCTGACCCGGATCGAACGTGGAGCTGAAAGACTCTAAACTCTTGCCAATTTGTAGCAGATGCACTAACCAATTTAAGTTGGGAGGAGGAGGATGTATTACTGCGGTGGTCCCATTGAGGAACATACGAGGTTCAAGTTGCACTGCAGGGTTGAATTCTGGGTTGAATTTTATTCCTTTCTTCTTTCACTTGGGTTCAAGGGAGTAATTCTATACTTACTAGTAGGTAAATGAGACAGGTGCTTTTATCAAGGGTCGGTGATTGGAAACAATAGAAAGAGCCTGAAGGAGTAGACAAAAAGGGATTCATTAAAACATCCATAACCTGATCCCAGATCGAACGGGGATCTTCTGCAGAAGCTTTCATAGGATTCTCACTGGTTGAAGATTTCAAGTTTTTGAGTGAAAAAATTGGTGAAAAATGTTTTGAGTTTTACAGAGGTTTTTCGCCAAAAATGTAGGTAAAAAAGTTGAATTATTTTCAAAAGTTTCTCAACTTTAGGTGAAATTTTCAAAATAAAATAGAAAACTGCTGAAAAACTCTTGAATTTTTCACCTACTATTAGAGACTAGGTACTGGACCACCTAAGGGTTTTCACCCGTGGGCAAAGGACCTTAGTGCGTTGTCAGGGTCCCCTGTTGCTCAGAATGAAGGCATACATCTTACGAATTAGACAAACCAATTTGACCGAATTTAGGTGGGGATCTGAGCGCGGGGTGAATTTTCTTCGGCAGGATGCCAAAAATAGCCAAATGCTAGGGTACTTGACCACCACCCCAAAGGCAGTATTCCTCATCGGATTAGGGGTCGCAGCAAATTTGGAGGCCAATGGGGGATACTAATTGACAATTCTATGTATTTAAACCGATGGTCGGGGCCATATATTGGGGTTGAATATTTACGTCGGAAGCATTAGACAAGATGCAGAATCAATCCCCATCACTAATTGAGTCAAGCTTAACGGTAAGAGTGTACAAGGAGCCAAAATAAGTTAGTTATGGCTTCATACGATGTACATCAATGTCCTTGAATACCAACTTCCCCCACTCGATGCACACAACTCCTATAAAAAATCTTGAAGTCCGGCTTACAGAATTATGGTGATTTAGTGCATTAGATAGCAGTGAGAGAGGCATTAAGTTCATATAATTGTGGACTAGGACTTAACATAAAGAGTCTGACCTGTTGATGGTCCTTCCCAAGTTCAAGGCCCTTAGCATCAAGGGTTCGCCTACGGCGCGGGTCGTCAAGTTGTCCCACTTAGTGTTAGATTTGAATGGTTCACAGACTCTCTTAAGAAAGGATGCGGAATCAGAAGACCACCCAATACCCTATGTCAATGCCTAGAATCTAGGCTTCAAAATGAGCCCCCAAAGTCATGGATTGACCAAGAGTTGGCCGAGAAATGAGTGTCGATAGGTGTCCGGAGTTAAGAAAATGATGTTCTCACGCCTCGGCCTGCAATCAAACAAGGCACAGCTTTTGATCAACCCATCACTTCGCCTCCGCATTTGGTGCCAGTGGGCCCCAGAGGTCCTATTCCCTTCCCCCAGGACAAAATATCAATATACCTCAGCACACCAGTCTCTGGTATCCAAATGGTCAACTACCTAGGTTGGTCAACTACCCAGTCTCCAATAGTACATTTTTGGTGAAAACCTTGTGTGAAAATTCAAAACATTTTTCACCAGTTTTTTCAGTCAAAAATTTGAAAGCTTCAACCAGTGTCTACAATGAATGTAGATGCACTTTCCAATTGTGCTATCAGACCATTACTGAGCAT